CGGCCCGGGGGGGCGGGGAGGAGGAGCAGGGCCCGGTCTTTGTTCTGGGGCTGAACTTGGGCGGCCGCCCCGGGCCCGCGGCTGCCGCGAGGGGCCCCGCGCTGCTCCTTTGTCTGCGCGAGCGGCCGGCGCGGGGGAGGCCGCGGGGCCGGGGGGGCGGGTCCAGCCCGCGGGGGCGGCCGGGGGCGCTGCCCGCGCCCCGCGCTTTGTGCTTGCCGCCGAGCAGCGACTTGAATGGTCTCGCCCGGCTCCCTAATTGGAGAAGGGCTGGGGGGAGCGGGGGCGTGTGGGAGAAACCGCTCGCATCTGCCTGACTTACGAAAACGGGGGGGGGACGTTCCCCCGGGCTGCCTCCCCCACCCCAAGCTGGTCAAAATTTCTCTCCCAGCCGCCTCCTGAGGGGAGGGCCGAGGCTTCTGTGAGGCTCCTGTGCCACAAAGGCCTGTGCCCCTACTCTGCCATTGGCCCCCGTGATGGCCCCGTGGAGGCCCCATTTGCACCTGGTGCAGAGGGAAGGGGCCCCCATTGGGAGTGTGGGGGCTGTCAAGCAGGGCTCAGCCCAGCACCGGGGCTGGGGGAGACAAGGCCAGGGGTGGCTGCTCCAAGGGCCAGACTTGTGTGCAGTTGGGGAGGCCTGGGGACTCCGTGCCCCCCGCCATGGGGCGTTGTGTGGCTGACCGCAGCATCTCTGTGCTCTCCCCGCAGCCGCCTCAGTTGTGGGAAGCTGCAGGACCTGGGCGTTGCGGAAGGAAGCAAGCTGACGCTGGTGCCCACCGTGGAGGCTGGCTTGATGGTAAATGGCCTTCTCTTGCTGCTCCCTCCCATCTATCTATTATTAAAGCTGTGGGCAAGGATGTGCCTGCAGCACCTCATGAGAGAGCCTTGGTCCAGGTGCAGCAGCAAGTTTAACATTTCTCAGCTTTCTCGGGGCTTTTGTAGAAATAGTGGAAGTGACAAGTCAGCCCTTCCCCGCACCGTGTGGACGCCCCCTCCTTCCCTGCACTGGCAACGTTAACCCCCCTCCTCCTTTTTTTCCAGTCCCAGGCGTCCAGGCCAGAACAGTCGGTGATGCAAGCTCTGGAAAGCTTAACTGAAACTCAGGTGAGAGGCCTGATGCTGGCACATGGCTGGAGACAAAGAGCGCTCTGCGGGTGGCTTGGGGGAAGGGACTGCTGTGATCTGCCTCGCCGTCCCCTCCCAAGTGGCTTTGGTGTTTGGTGCCTCCCTTGGGTTTCACCTTGTGGAGGGTTTGGCGGTGCTGAGGGTGGCGCCTGGGGCAGGCGGCGTCATTGTGCGCAGGGAGGCCCCGTGCAGGCACGGCCCAAACAGCCCCGGCTGCGCACAGGGCCGGGGCGCTGGGAGGTGAAGTGACTCACTCAAGGTCACGCAGCAGGTCGGTGGCGGAGCCCCACACTGAGGGACTTGGTGGCACCTCCTCACGTCCCGCCGATGGCAGAGCCGGCTTAGGAAGCTACATTGCCTTGCCGGGGGTTGAGGCTGGTGTTGAGCAATGAGCAGGTCCCTGGGCTGGCGAGCTCTGTGCGTCTGGCTGATGCTGAGGAGGGCTCTTCCACCTCTGCTTGGCGCTGTCCTTGGAAGGAAATAGGATGTGTTGGGCTCTGTGCGCGGCCACTTTGCGGCCTTGAGCGCGGCGAGGAGGAGGGGGCGCTGGGGGCTGTGGGGGTGGCGCTGGCGGTGCCTGTGTTTAGAATAACTGAAGTTTCTTGGCTGCGGAGGGTCCGCCCCGGAGATGGGAGGTGGCGGCGGGGGGGCCGCGCTCTGAGGAAGCGTCCCCATGGTGGGGCTGCCTGCACCGGCGCTGGAATGTACCCCCAGCTGTGGAAGCCTCTGCTGCTTTGTTTTCAGTCTCTGTTCTTGCTGCTGAGCTCCTTCCTCCCTCCCTTTCCGGCACTCTTGAAGGTCTCTCTTAGGACGGGTTTTAATCTGCCTGGCTGAGCCTCGAGGAAGGGGCTGAGCCACAGGGACTGGCCTGTGGGCCCCCCTGGCTGGGGCCCTTGGCTGCTGTGCACTGCCCTTGGCTGCTGGGACCACCTTGGCTCTGGGCAGCAGCTTTAACCTATGCTGTCCAAGCCGGAGCCTGAGACCCCTGCTCCAAGCTGTCTGCTGCCTGTGGGTCTCCCTGCAGAGCCTGGGTTCCTGGGCGCCCTCCTTCCCCATGGGGCTGTGGAGTTGTGCCCACACTCAGGCATTTGCCAGGGCACTGTGTGGTGAGGGCCGCAGTGTGGATAGTACCAGGGCACAGCACATGGCCCACATGCCCCCCCCAGGGCTCTGCCAAGCAGGTTGGACCCTGCGGATGCCAGGGTGGGTGGCACAGGGCTGTGGGCTCTGCGCCTCCAGCCGGGCGCTGCTGCAGGAAACTGAGGCTGTGCAAGAGGCACCTGGGGGGCGGAGGGGGGCAGGAAACCACTCCTCCCATTCATGCTTTGCTCAGCTCTGCCTGCGTCACGCAGCCTCCGGCAGCGCGGGCAGCTCTGCGCCGGCTTCCTCGGGGGTGGCGAGGGGCTGCGCGTAGCCGAGACAGCCCAAGTGCCACCGGGAAGTGGCTGTGGGGCGGGAGGGGACCTGGTTCCCCGGGGTCTTCCTGGAAGGGCCGGCGGCGCTCCCTGCTCATGGGGCAGGGGCTGCAGCTGTCCCTGCTTTGCAGGGCATGGGTCCGGGCAGCTCGTGACTTCCCACGGCCTTGGCTCCAGCTTGGCCGAGGCAGCGGCGACGTGTCTTGCCCGTTTGCAGGAGCTGACTCCCGCAGCCGGGGCCCAGCCAGAGGAATGCGATTTCTCAATGGTGGCCGAGTGGCTCTGGCCCTCTGCCCTCCTTGGCACGGCCGAGCCCCACACACCCGGGCGAGTGCAGGGGCTGCCAGCGGCTCCCAGCTGTCAGCCACAGCTGCGCCCGGCTGGAGAGCCTGCCTGGAAGCTGGGGGGGGGGTGCTTCCTGTTCCCCCTTTCCCCTGCTTTGCACTGGCCTCTCCTCTCTCCGGCTGTCAGGAAATGGAGCAGAACAGCTTGGCCGAGGGCAGCACAAGGGGCTGCAGTGCTGTGCTGGTCCCCCCGCCGCGCTGCCTGCCAGGCTGGGGTGGCCGGGGCCGGACGCCGGGTTGCGCGGGGCCAGGCTGCGCACAGGGAATGCGGCGTTCTCTGAGTCATCGGCATTTCTGAGAAGCAGCCGGGAGACACTCGCCCCATCCCTGCGGGCCCCACGCCCGGCATGAGGCGCCCGCTGACCCCCGGCTCCAAGGGCTCCCAACTGCTCCGGGGGCTCCAGGAGGGCCGGGGCCCCTCGGCTGGCCTGGCCCCCTGCCCGGCCCTGCGGCAGAGCGGGCTGGGAGGGACGGGGTCCTCCCTGGGCTGGCTGTGGGCGGCTGAGCAGGCAGCTGGGTGGGACGTGTTTGCATTGGAGCGGCCCAGTTCTGCCGGGGGGGTTGGCAGGCGCACGGGGGCGGGCGCTGGGAGCCCCGCAGCTCCTGCCGGGCCCGGCCGCCCTGTGAGGCGCCCGCGGGGGCCCAGCCCGCCCGGCGCCGCAGCCGCTGGGATGGGGGCCGTGGAGCGGCAGCGCCCAGCTGCGCTGGGGCCCTGTACAGGGGGCAGTGGCGCAAGCTCGGGGTTCTCCCTGTGCTCCTGGAGCTGGTGGGGCTCAGGCAGGGCGGTCGGGCTTGGCTGAATCAGACGGGGTGGCCCCGGCACCCACTGACGTCAGGGCCAGGCGGGAGCCACCCGGAGGGGCGGCGCTTTGGGGCTACCCTAGTGTGGAAGTGGGTGAGGCAGGAGTGAGGCAGCCCCACTGTGTGGTTTGGGGGGGCAGCAGGTGCCTGCTGGCCCCTGGCCCCCCTTTCCCTACAGGAGGTTGGCACAGACCATGGGGGCATGCAGGGGTTCGGATGGTGGCTCCTCGATGCAAAGTTGCTGCATGGTTAGAATGAGGGGAGCCGTGAGCAAGAGCCGGGTGAGGGGGCTGCGCAGCCGGGCAGACCCCACTGTCCCCATGGCTGTCCCGGCTGGGGGGCCGGTGCCGGGAGCGGAGCGGGTGCGAGCACATGCGTGTGCCCGCACGTGCGCGGCTTCTGCCGCCCCCTCGCCCGTAACCCCGGTGTCCAGGGCTGCCGCGGCTCCCTCCCGCCCACCGCTTCCTCTGCAGCCGCCGCCTGACACGCTCAGGGCTTTGCTGCTGGTATTTTTAAAGCTGCTTTTCCCACGGCTTCTCAGAAGCGGCCTCCGCGGGCGCGGGGGAGCCGGGGCTGGTGCGGGGCCGCCCGGGGGCTGCGGGTTTGGGGCGCTCAGCTCTGGGGCGGGCTCTTTGGGTGCCTCTGGGGTCACTGCTGCAGTGCTGCCCCTTGGTGCCTCTTTGTGCGCGTGTGGCCACCTGGACCCCAAGGTGCTGGGGAGGGCAATGACGTCCGCAGAGCAGCCAGGGAGCTGCGCAGGGCACTGCATGTGACGGGCTGGGAAAGTCAGTGCCGGCCGTGCCCTAGAATAGCTCTGCTGAGGGGTGGCAGTGTCGTCACGGCCATTAGCTGTGACCTAGCGTCCTGCCCGCAGCGCTGCCTGCGTGAGCGCAGAGCTGCAGCCCCTTGGGGGCGAGAGGCGGCCAGGGGGGTCTGGTGGGGGGCACTCGGGATGCGGCCGGTGTGGAGCAGTGTCAGGCGTGGGGGGATCCCTGATGCATCCGCTTCATTACCTGGGTGGTGCCAGCGTCTCCCCCCGCCTCGTGTTGTGCCGTGGTGCAGACGCCCCGCGGCGCTGGCAGCGGCCCCGGCCCTGCCTGGCGGGCGCTGCGGGAGCGTCTGTGCTGCGGCGAGGGCCGGGCCGCCACCTCCATGCTGGGCGATGCAGGGTGGGGAGGAGAATATGCGTCGGCAGTGCGGCCGGAGCTGGCAGCGCCCTGGGGTCGTGTGGGGACGAGGCCTGGCCTGCCCGGTACCGCACCATGCTGAAGGGGCCCTCCCTGCAACCGCCTCCCCCGCTGCCCTGCTACGCCCCGTGGGACGTTCCCAGCTGGGGGCTCCGCAGGGCTGACGCCGGTCGCTTCTCTCCCCAGGTCAATGACTTCTTGTCGGGACGGTCCCCGCTGACCCTGGCCCTGCGGGTCGGCGACCACATGATGTTCGTGCAGCTGCAGCTGGCGGCACAGCAGAGCAGCGGGCAGCTGCAACACCGGCATGTCATCGCGAGCCGCGGTGAGGCGGGCGCCGCCAGCGCCCACTGCCGTGCGCTGCACGGCGCTGCTGGCTCCGGCTTCGCCCGTGTGCCTGTGGTGCCCGCCTGCCAGCAGAGCCCAGCGCCCGCCACACCGCCTGCCCCCGTCTACTGCAACGCCCCCCACCCCGCGCCCATCACCGCTGGCATGTTCCGCTCGCATGGGGCCGGCACACAAACGGTCAACAGCAGCGTGGTCTCCTCCTGCTCTGAGGTGAGTTCTGCGGAGCCCGGAAGCTCGGGGCGGGGCGGGTCACAGTGGGGCAGGACAGGGGCCATCTATGTGGGCTGGTGTGGCCGGGGATGCCCCCTGGCCCCGGGGCTGATCCGTGTGCTCTCCATCTAGGTGGACTGCGGCACGCGCAGCAGCAGCAGCTCCCCGGGCGGCAGTCCCGCCCCGACGCCCCGATCCCGCAAGCCCGGTGCCGTCATCGAGAGCTTCGTCAACCACGCGCCCGGGGTCTTCTCAGGGACCTTCTCTGGTAGGTGGAGGGAGGGTGACACCGGCAGCCTCCGGGGCTTGTCCCCGCTGTGCGGTGCTGCCCGTCTCACACTCCGTCCCCGGCTTCCGCAGGCACTTTGCACCCCAACTGCCAGGACAGCAGCGGGCGGCCGCGGCGGGACATCGGCACCATCCTGCAGATCCTGAACGACCTCCTCAGCGCCACGCGACACTACCAAGGGATGCCGCAGTCCCTGACGCAGCTGCGCTGCCAGACGCAGTTCTCTTCCACGGCCTCCTCGTCCCCGGACCTCGCCACCAAAACTACCTCAGAGCCGCTGCCGGCACCTGCCACCTCTGCACCCCTGCACCCCGTCGTCCAGTGCCAAAGCCAGATCCGCATGTGCAAGCCCAGCGGTGAGTGTCCGGTGCGCCACCAGGCTGCAGCAGGTCCTGTGGGGCCACGTGGTGCCGGGAGCCCCCAGCTCTGCGCAAGGGTGACATCCTCATGGGTACCCACCCTGGGGTGCCCCACCCAATTCCTGTCCATTTGCTTCCTTTGTGCTGGAGCAGCCTGGACCCCAGGGTGCCAGGGTGGGGGTCCCTTCTCCCCACTGCCAGGCAGGACCAAGACAAAGGTCCCATTGAGGCCTGTGGGGTGGGGGGCACAAGTGCCCCCTCCCCGGCCCGGGGGAGCCAGGAGCTGCAGCCGCACAGCAGGAATAGCCACAGGATGGGGTGCGGATGCCGGAGTGCAGCCCTGCCCCGATGGTGTCTATGTCTGGGGCTGTTGGCTGCTTGTGAGGAGCAGCCGCCCGTGGGCGCAGGGCTCTGCGCTGCCACCGCTGCCTCCTACTCACTGCTGCGTTCTTCCTCCCTTCCCTTCCCTCCCTGCCTCCTCCTCCTCCTCCACCCGCTGCTTCCTCCTCGCCATTCCCGCGGCGGAGCCGGCAGCATGGGATCCTCCCTGGCTCTGCGGCCTTGCCCCACGTATGTCACACGTGGGGCGGCAGCAGCGCCTGGCAGTGCCAGCAGCCCCGGCTGCTCCAGGTGCTTCTGCCCTTGTGCGCTTCCCCTTTGCGCCACATTCTCATTTTCCTCTTGCGCTGCGTCAGAGAAGCCCCTTGTGCTGCCAGGGCTGCAGCGTCCCTGTGCCCCCCCAGAGGGGGGGGCACTCGCTGTCCCCAGCGCTGGCTCTGTGCACCTGCACCCGCGGCCCAGGAAGTGTCTGCAGGTCCCCCACCCCACCCCCGCGCAGATTTGCGTAGAGAAAAGAAGCGAAACGTCCGTTGGCTGCTGGGAGTTGGGGGGTTGCTCCCACTTTCACTCTTTCCCGGGCGATGGGCAGAGCTCTGCGTCCGGGGCCGCTCCTGCCCACCCCAGGGCCCGGTTCGGGGCGCTCTGTGCAGACACCCGTTTCAGGGAGCTTTACAGGGTGCTGCTTCCGCACACGAGGGCTTGGGGGGCTCCGCGTCCCACTCCGGGGGCTCTGGGAGTGACGCAGGTGCCCTTGCAGGGGACCGGCTGCGGCAGACGGAGAACCGGGCGACGCGCTGCAAGGTGGAGCGGCTGCAGCTGCTGATGCAGCAGAAGCGGCTGCGGCGGAAGGCGCGCCGGGACGCCCGCGGGCCCTACCACTGGCTGCCCAACCGCAAGTCCAGCCGCACCAACAGCAACAGCAGCGTCTCCAGCGAGGGCAGCCTCGACCTGGACTTCGAGGACTCGGTGTGGAAGCCGGAGGTCAAGGCGGACATGAAATCTGAGTTCGTTGTAGCATAGAGCAGTGCCCGGGCGGCGCCGCCGGCTCCCGCTCCGCCCGCGCGCGGCCCCTCCTGACTCTGCCGCCTCCGGGGGGACCTTGCAGCAGAGCCTTCCCCCCTCCATGGCGTCACAGGGGCGGCCGGGCAGGGGACCAAGCCCCACAGGTGCCCCCGGACCCCCTTGCGCCCGGGGCTGCGGCGCTGCCGGCCGGCTCGGCGGCACCCGGGGCTCAAGCTGCTTTTTGGGCTGTGAAGCCGCGGCCGGGGCGGCCCCCGTGCGGTGTTGGGGGGGGGGGAGTCCCCACCTCTGCGACCACCGGCCCCCTCTTCTCTTTCCCTTCTATATGTAGCATTGCTGGCAGCGCCTGGCCTGGCCCCGCGTGCACTTTAGGGGCTGCGCTGGGGCCTGTGGGCACCGGGGGGGTCAGTTCTGTGTGGGGGCAGCCTGGGGGCTGCCCCCGCCCCGGTCGAGCCCAGCTGGGAGCTGCCGCCTCCCCCTGCCCCGTGAGGGGCTCGGAGGACTTTTTTGTGTGTTTGTTTTATTTTTTTTGGTTTTGTTTTTTAACTTAAAAAGGAGGAAAAAAAAAGTTTAAAAAAAAAACATGAATAAATGAACCCAGTACTCGGTCATGGCTGTCTTCAAGCCGTGGGGCTAATATTTATAGACATTAATTACCCGACTGAGCCAATACTGACATAGTCTTGCATAGGCCGTAGAGATCCTTTTCCTTGTCCAACTTTGATTTTTTTTTTTTTTTTTTTTTTT